CATAGGATAGGACAAGATCCAGTGTGTGGCCATGTTCATGTGTTGGACCTGTCACAGACTGAACAAGATTAAATGAGTCAATAAGGTTTAAAAAGTCTTTAGCCAGCGCGTTGGAGGGACAATCCGGTGGTACAAGCTCAGTAAAAGAGTTAAGGTCACCAACATTAAGCCAAGTGTCAGTCACAAATAAACAAATCCAGATCTCGTGAAGTGAAAAGGTAATTCAATATTAAGGTCTTATTAACTAACGATCTTGAATTTACCAGAACCATTCTGACCAAGATCAAATCATGAGCCGACTGTGATGCATGACACAGTGGGCGAAGGTTCGTTAAATCCACTCCACCTCTGCGGAGACGAGGCAAACATACCTGAGGGAGGGTCAAGTCGAGAACAGGTACAACAGGCCGGATCCAGCGATACAGCGACTCCACACAGCGCCCAGAGCAACCGCGATCCGAAACCAGCCCACATAAGGATATAAATGAGGTACTCCAGAGGACGCCAGATACAATTTCCATCTGGTGGATACACTGCCTCGCTTTCCACGTCTGCGGCGCCGTTTTCTTCCGGAAAAGACACAGGGCAGCCGGCGCAAACTTTCCGGTATAGAAGACACAACCAGAGGAAGACAAGTGCTTAACTTATTAGATCCTGCTTAATCAACTCCTCGACAGAATTTCGAATGTCAAAGAGTGTTTATCGTAGATGTGTAGTAGAAGCATGTTGAATAATCATAAATAAAAACAGTACAATAACAAACAGCCAGGTAGGTCGCAGATGGCTAGCCACATACACCGGCGCCATCTTGCTTTTTTGAGTGATCAGATCACAAAACGTTGATGCCCCTTTTTACACACGGCTTTGCAGTTGGCTTCAAAACCTAACTTTGAATCAGTGATTGTTCCTAAATATTTATAAGATTGAACAAACTGTTTGACCCTTAATGGATGTGTCTTCTTCATGCATAGAAACATTCTTTCTAAAATCTATATCCTTGTATGTGCTCCTATCGGCCAAACATCAGGTCGGCACTTTACGTTTTGAGTTGGTGGGGGTAGGATTTGAGGGTTTTTCGGCCATGGCAGGAGTAGTCCTTCCCCAGGGCTTTACAGAGGGTGGGTTACTGGGTGAGCAGCCCACCCTGGACGTGGCTAAGATTCCTGGTGATCAAAGGCTCGATGATAGGGGGGATCACCCATGCCGAGCGCTGCCATATCCTTTACTTCGAGGCCCGCAAGACTGTGTTTGAAATTGAGCAAATCGCTCCAGTAAAGTATCATGTGATTCGGGCACGCTGGGAGGACAGGGAAGAGTTGTTTCCTTGGGCCGGAAGGGGGTCCCAGCAGCTTCCCATCATAAATATCCCACTCATAGTCAGTGGTGCTCTGTGGAGCTGGCCACTCCATGTTGAGGCGAGTGGTCGCTTGTTCACATACATCCAGGAGGATGGACTGGGTTAAGGCCGTCCTCTGAGACCCCGAGAAGGCCCGCTACGTCATCGTCACCAGAACTGGGCAGTTCGTCAGCGAATGGGAGGTTTCCTGCCAAGATATCCTCTTCAGGGAATGCCGGATTGGGCTGGTCAGCCCAGTTGAGAGACGTTGTGCCCTGGTAGCGCATTGTCATCACCGTGTCCCACATTCAAATCAGTAAAGGCCGAGCTCAACGCACTGCGTCGCGGCCACCGGAGCTTCGTAGGCAACATAAGGCAATGGCTGCAATTCTCCACGTTCTCCAAAGCCTCTTCTGCGTGCTTGAGGCCCAAGCAGATCACGCAGAACAGGTGAGGTTCCTTAGCAGCGATCAACATGCCACGCGTGTCCAGGCAGGCTATCCCTGGGAGAAGCAGCAGATTTAGAGAGCAGCATATCAGCAAAAAACTGAGAAAATCCATGACGGGCAGCCATGGAAACAGGAGCAGGTGAGATAATGATAATAGGCGAGCAGCCTGAAGACGAGAGAGTGTGGGCGGCTCAGAATGCGAAAACAAATGACCCAAGGCTGAATAAAAAGATCTGGTGTTATGTCCTCCTGAAGACATGCAAGTGAGCAGTTTAACATCCAACCGAGCTGAGAGAGCACAGAGACCACGAGAAGCGAATGTCAACTGAGGAAAAGTACCACGGGCAGGGGTTTTATGTGCTTAGTTAAAGGGTGGCCCCTTACCTGCCATTGGACATCCTGTCTAGGGCTGTCAAAATGGCTGAAAAACTAAATTCAAATTTTGTACTTAAATATCAATATTTCGATTTATGTTCAAATTTAAAAGGCATAATTTCAGTTAGGGGAAAAAAGGCTTTTGGATTCTCTCAATGCCACAAGAGGGCGCATCGAGCAAAATATTACTAATGCACGTTTCTTCAAAGCAATAAAATCAAATGACTACCTTTGAAAAAAGCACATAATGTTTAAAATAATGTTTATAAAACATAATTAAGTTGCTTAAACAATTAGAAACAAAACAGCATCATACATGTATGTATAGTTTAATACAAAGGACCGACAACCAATCACAAATAGTAGTTTTTTCATTTAAAAACACGAGATACAGTGGGATGGGGAAAACCCGCCATAAAGTCTCGAGACGTGTTTTTTAAAAGTTGAACTTACATTAATATTACATGGCTTTCTAAACAAGCGGCTCTCTTGTGCGAGATGCGAGTGCAACAGTGATAGATGTCCCTCTAGAAAATGCGATAAATATGTGTTCTGTGTGAATGGCTTGGTTTCAGTTTTGACGTAAACAAGATCTTCTCCGCATTGATGTTCTCTTTTTCCGCAATATTTTGAATAAACAACGTAGCAGTGCCGCATCTAGTGGGTTCAACTGGATAGGCTTAGAAAAATAATTCAAATGCAATGACACCTACAGGCTGCCTGACACACACCTAAAATTCGAATGCAACGTTTTTGCATTCAAATGTGTTTTTATATTTTAAATTCGATGAATATTTTAAATTCAAAGTTTTTTTGACAGCCCCGTCAACTCCTGTCTGTCAAGCCAGACTTGGTGCAATTGGATGCTTCTGCAGAGGTCAGGCATGGATGCCCTTCCCACAAGTGGATCTCGAACATGATATGATGAAAGAGAACTTTGAGTTGAAATGAAATAAGTAATGCATTCAAAAACAAATGCCATGTGAGGACAAAGACATCTTTGCAAAGAGGTTTCCTACCCTCTCAAGCGTCTCTAATATAACTATGTTTGAGAACTAGATGCAGATGCTGCCACATTTTTATAATAGGGTTGTTAGCCAGGTTTCTGGAAGTGGTAAACAATCCATGCTCGAATCCTCTTCAGAAGTGAGTTTAGCATAATCATTCACAAAGTAAAGAAATCTGGAAATAAATAATTTTGTATTTATTCATGCATTATGTCAACATTTAAGTGAATGTATAAATAAGCATGGAAATAAATGTTGTCATAAATACATGAATTAATTAATACATTTTGAAAAATATAATAATAAATAAGGAAATATAATTTGTAAATATTTTTTAAATAATATTTTTTTCATTTCTTTTTTTATATTTCGGTATGTATTTCACCAAGAATAAAACTGAATACCACCGACATATGTTTTATTATTCGAATGTGTTTCCTTTATGTAAATATCTAAGCACTTTCTGGATTGTAGACAGGACTTTTATTTTGGTAAGGCTAAGGCTAAAGCGTCATAAGGCTGCGCCGCGCTCCTGCTTCTGTGTTTCAGCTGAAGAAAGGTTTGTGGTCTTAATCATTTAAAGTGTTTGAATTCATACAAACACGTTCAGTCTATTTTATAGTGTTTACAAGCGATGCAAAGATGATAATTATTAAATGTAACATTGTAATATTTGCTCTAGCCTAATAATGAACTTTATTTTGTGTGAGTAAAGCGCATCCACACAGCGTCTATTTATCTATGTAGTCACATAATCGTAAATACAATATAATAATAAATTTTTTTAAAATCAGTCATTCATTCTGCCCATTTGTGTTGAAACGGATCTTTCGAAACTCCGAGTCAGTTGAATCGGTTGCTTCACAAAATGATTCAGTGTTTTGAATCAGCGCGCGCTGAAGAGACCTGCTGCTCAGAACAGTGTAACTGCAACAACAACTAACACAAACATGTGTAATGACAACTTTTACAAACAACTGCTAATGTGTTGTTGTTGTAATGACAACCTTAAAATACAATAGCAGTTTTTAAGCGTGTTATCGAATAAATGTAATATATTAATCATTAAATACCTATTGTTAATCAGAACTAAATAGTAAAAGTTAAAAAGTTTTGAGTGTTTGTCTAATCAGATCATTTAAGTCCATTAACTCTCACTCTGACTCCCTCACTAGTGTGCTGACTACTGAACTAGGGACGCACCCAGAGATTAAACGTTTTTCTTTTTTTATTATTTCTGTTAATTATTCTCATCTTAAACAGGACAAAGTGTCCAAACACACCGAAAAACTCCTGCTGAAGCGACTGAGACACACTATTATAAAGATGGAGTTTATTAAAGAAGAGAGTGAAGAAGCATTCAGAGTCAAACATGAAGATACTGAGGAACAAACAAAGATGGAGTTGATTAAAGAGGAGAGTGAAGACGTGAAGATTGAAGAAACATTCAGAGACAAACATGAAGATCCTGAGAATCAAACAAAGATGGAGTTTATTAAAGAGGAGAGTCAAGACATGAAGATTGAAGAAACATTCAGAGTCAAACATGAAGATACTGAGGAACAAACAAAGATGGAGTTGATTAAAGAGGAGAGTGAAGACGTGAAGATTGAAGAAACATTCAGAGACAAACATGAAGATCCTGAGAATCAAACAAAGATGGAGTTTATTAAAGAGGAGAGTCAAGACATGAAGATTGAAGAAACATTCAGAGTCAAACATGAAGATACTGAGGAACAAACAAAGATGGAGTTGATTAAAGAGGAGAGTGAAGACGTGAAGATTGAAGAAACATTCAGAGACAAACATGAAGATCCTGAGAATCAAACAAAGATGGAGTTTATTAAAGAGGAGAGTCAAGACATGAAGATTGAAGAAACATTCAGAGACAAACATGAAGATACTGAGGAACAAACAGGTTGGTTTTCGTTCTCAAAGCTGAACTATCTCATGAACTGTCCTGACTGTTTTAAAGATTACTATCTGCTGTAACGAACAGATGGCTCTGAGTCCAACAGCATCGTTATTCCCCATAAAACCAGGCAAGAGTGAAAAGAGCGGGAGCTGCCAGAGTTTAAAAAGACAAGAGGCATGACATGATATTTTATAGCTTTTTATGTGCTACCATATAAAACATATGTATTCATTTTATTTCCATAAACACCAACTCCCCGCCAGGAGATAAAACATTTATTTTGCCAATCTGTCCAGAGGCATTTTTTTTTTTAATTACACAATGTGTCAGAACGCTGTTAACACAGGAGTTTGTCCTTGTTTCTTTTCCCCCACATTTCTCTATTTGATTTATTTAAAAAAAAAATTTAAAATCTTAACCCCTAGATGTAGAAAAAGAGAGCTTGAGATCAGTTTATAAATTTAGCTGCAAGCAGCAATTAAGGGACCAAGCACAATAGAGGCAGAATGAGGAGCAAGCATGGCAGTGAGCATCAGACCAACCGCAACAACGAGTAATTAAAGACATTTTTTTAAAGATTATTTTCGTCAAAATGGCAGTGAAAAAAAGTGCAAATTAGGGCTGCACAATTAATTGAATGTGATTGTCATGCACATTTTATTAGTAAAGCCGGTTCTGTAATGAGCAGTAAATCATCATCACGTGCTTTCAGATGGAGCAGCATTTACTACACAGAGCCGTAGTTCTCTGACAAGTTACGCCAAAAAATCTCAGACGATTTTATTGCGTGATAATTAAATCGAAGAAATCGTTGGCGATAATGACAGCTGTTTGCGTAGCTTCTCAGTGAACTACGGCTCTGTGTAGTAAACGCTGCTCCATCTGAAAGCACGTGAAAATACCACATTTAATAACATAGTTTTACTCCAAACTCAATTCATGACGTCAGTCGAGTGTTTGAAATAAATCCTTCTGTGAGATGATGTGGATTCTTACACAGAATAAGGCACGCAATGTATTTTATAGTATTTAAGCAGTGATAAAGGCATTGCGTTATAAATATACTTTATTTTAATGAAAATTATAATAATAAGAACTCAGATAAACCGTATATTGCCGTAGGCGTGTGTTTATGAGTCACGTTGAACCAATGAGAGCAGTTGAATCTTCTGTTTATTCAGCCGCAGCGATGGGCATTCTCTGGGTTTCTTCTGCGAGGCGTATTTGGAGTTTCTCTGGCCTTCGGATGGAGATTTACTGCTGATCACAGAACCGTGCTTCACTGAAAGATACGCATGACAATCACAGCTTCTGTCGAATCACCATCTCGATTCCATTTCAATTTATCGTGCAGCCCTAGCGTAAATACAATCAATAGTAATATGATTTAACAGTTGATCACTTCTGACTGATAGCTGGCGATGTTACCAAGTTGTTGTGGTGTCAATATGTCAAAGCTTTGCAGAGATACAGTGAGTCCACAAGCTCCTTCAGTTCAATACACTCAACAGTCTTTTGCCACTGCAGAGACTTTATTAGCCACGTTTCCACTGTCATGAACAAAGGCGGCGTTTATCCAAGTTAGAGTCGGTCGGCACTGCTGTTCATTTCCCACGTTTTCATATCAAGCTATTAACTAGCGTCAATATTTCAGACATTTAAAACCATTTTAATGGCAAAACTCTGTTTCAGACACCAGCGAGTGTCTGAATTAACTTACGATTGTGACCCGATGGGAATTCTGATCACCGTATTAGGCAGAAATTTATATTTCGTATTACAGAAGCAAATCTTAACTTGATTTGGGATTCTTATCCTATCTTACAAAATCGTATCTTATCTCTAGTTAGGAAATATTAAATTGCATTATCAAGCTCGACAATCCACTCTCAGGTCCACTCTCAGGCCAAGCAACCAACACTGCGCGAGCTGCTGATGAGGTAAACAAAATAATAGAGGCTACTTCACTTTGAAAATCGCCTTTTGCAAAAAAAACTGGACACTCTACACTGGACGTGACAAAGCGACTGTTGAAAATCATTTGAAATTTGTGTCAGCACGTCATAAATAGAACGCGGCAGCAGTAGTTTACTGGCGGGGATTTTTCGTGACGTTGCACCGCAGCCAGTGTAGACAGCATCACTGAATATAGTGTTTTGTCGCGCCGCACCGCTCGCGTCCAGTGTAGACATTAAGGCATTAGTCACTTGCCGTGTAACCGGTAATGCTCCGTGACGCTTTCTTGGTCTCTGTAATGCTGGTTGCAGTTCCTGTGCTAACTGTAATATGTTGCGCGGCAGTCTGTAAATATAAGTGGGGGTTTTTTTCATCAAAATGTAACACATCTTCAGGGTCCTCCAAGAGTCTTTCTACTATTAAACATCTCCGTTCTTCATTTTCAATTATTAATAAATGTAATACCATTGTTGGACAGCGCAATTGTAAGCGGCTTTTCCGTTAGCTTTCAAATAATTTTGAAGTTAGGACAGCTGTGGGGTTGTCCTAAAGTTAAGACAGTTTTTAGTTTTTTTTTGTCTTCTGTAATACCCTCTTCCTATCTGTAGTTAAGATAAGATAACACACTTAGGAAACACTATTCTGTAATAGCTTTTGTCCTAAATGTGGTCCTAACTGAAATTACCATGTTTACCAAACAGATAAGATAAGCTTTTAAAGTTAGGATCTTTCTGTAATTTCTGTTGATATATTGATCTCTGTTACCACTGAATCTAGATCGGTCTCAGTCAGAAAGAGATGCATTAACGAAAACACTAGTGTGCTATTTATGGAGGCTATATCTTTAACACCAAGCATTTCTGCAGACTCTGTTGATCTTCTCCTTGATTCCTTTAACTCAAAAGTTAAGAATGTTATCATTTTAAACCTCTTAAATAAATTTTTTTTTAAAATAATTTTCAAAGTTTTTTAATTCCTTGTTTTATTGTTGTGATTATTGTTTTTATTTTATTTTATGTAAAGCACTTTGAATTATCATTGTGTATGAAATGTGCTATACAAATAAACTTGCCTTGCCTTGCCTAATACGCCCCTGATCAGCAAATTCAGGCATGAAATCTTCCTTTGTCTTAGGAGGTCTATAGACTGTAACAATGATAGTAGAGATGGGTGCAGAGACATTCAGAACAAGACATTCAAAAGAATTAAAATAGAGAATGACCACAGGACTAATTTTGAATTGTTTCTTATACAGCACAATGATACCTGCGCCCCCTTCCACCGGGTCATGGGGAATCAAATCATCCATAGCCAGTTTATTAAACAAAAGTCTTTCTGTCTGTCAGTGCCATGTTTCCGTTAAGCACACCAAATCAAGTTTTTCTTTCATGATAATATCCAATAAAATCACTGCCTTTTTGTTGTCCATTTGGCTCAGCATGAGCCGAAGAATTAGAAGAAACTAAGAATTTAGCTTCTATGGTTCAAAAGTTATTAGCATAAATCTGAGTGCAAATTTGAACTGTTGGTGGCGCTAGAGGGTTAAAGTTAGAGACTCCAAACTTGCCGTGTTCTCTAGATGTGTGCCAAATTTCACAACTTTCCTGCAAGTGGTTCTACAGGCTTCCATAGACTCGAGCGGAAGAAGAACACCAATGAGCATGGACGACATTTGACTCTTGAGTCAGGGGGGGCAAGACAATTTATATATATATATATATATATAAATATATGAAATAATTAAATAAAAGCAAAATCTTTTTTTTCTGATGTAAGCATCAAAACAATGCCCTACCGTAATGCAACGCATCAAAGCAGTCAATCCAACACAGTCAATAATAACTTAAAGAGGTTGCCACCGTTTAGTAAACTGGACTAGCTTTGGCTCTTCCTGTTGACTTGAATGGTGATGCTTCCCGTTTGTCAGTTGATGGCCTTTCATTTTTATCCAGAAATGTGCACGCTGCTTTTCTGATGTTCACTGAAGTTTTCCGTGTCTTTTTCC